GTCGTCGTCGTCGTGTCGTCGTCGTGTGTGTGTGTGTGTGTGTGTGTGTGTGTGTGTGTGTATTAGCAGGATATCCTTATAGTCGGTATAACCGCCCTTCGGCGTATATATAATTAAAATAAAACACCAGCTTCGAATAGGATATGTGAAGGCTGGCGCATACTTCGTGTGCCAGTGTGTCATGCTCCAAAGTGGGTCTGTGTTGCACATCACATTGTTAATTTCTACCGAGGACTCGGATTGGTGGGTTGAATAAAAATTGTGCCCGTGACTGCCTCGACTTTACAAGTCAAGAAGGAAACTGGGTCCTGGGCAGAGCCTGCCTGATCGTCACCTGTGTAAAGACGGTATGTTCGTCATTTTTCTTACACAACGTAGGTCGTCGTTTTTCTTACAAAACGTAGGTCGTCATTTTTCTTACAAAATAGGGAGACCTTCTTCTTCTGACGACTTGTCTCAAATTGCTTGGGGCCGAGTTGTCGAGTTGTCCTCATTTTGTACAAGATAAGAGAGTTTTTATCTTGTTTTTGTTTAAAAACACCTTTTCAGTTTCCTACCTTTACAGCTTACGTACACGTTTAAAATAAACGGAGGTAGGAACTTTTTGAAATGATGTTCCACGATTCCACGATGGTCAGATTTGGGCCCAAAAGTCCCAGTCCGCTACTATGGAGATCGAATCCCCCGAACCCGCGAATCTTGTTCGATATGACGTCATTCGAATAGAGCGGGCGTTCGATCCGGGGTTACCCGCGGTCATTTACAGTAAAGCCGCTACAACCGGCTACTTCAAGCCCTTTTTTACTTGGGAACCACGGAACAGGAAAAATCCACCTTTCCACAAATATGAACCGTTTTCAAAACATTACATCTATGCCGTGATTTTATTGTGGATATGTAACATGTAACGAAGCTACTGCCGTCATCGTGGGTGACCTTGAAGGTCAGAATTCTTGTTGACGCTGTTTTAAAATCCAGGTCCCCATATCCAAGTGTCATAGCACGTGTGCAAACATGGTATTTTAACCACTCCCCAAAATCGTTCAAATTACCTCATTGAGGGCTTGTTTGGAAGAGCAACGATTTCCGCAGATTTCTGTCTTAGGGATTTTTAAAATATGGCCGCGATTATGAATTATCGGTATTTAAAGTTAAAACACTGCGTTTTTAGCTCTTCTTTTGACTGTAAGTCGAGTTTTAGTTAAAAAATAAAAAATCCTAAGACAGAAAGTTTAAATTTACTGTAATATTTCTAAAAATCCAAAAATCTAACCTTATTTTAATTTTCGGGGCCTCTTAAAATCAGTTGTTTG